CTTTCGCGTTTAGTGGGGGTTGTGTCTTAGTCAAAGCAAATATTAGCCTATTGCTATGCAATATGTGTATATATATATATATATATATGTGTTGCATATAATATAATATTTAATTACATAGAAACTATAAATGCTCATTATATTCTCAAACAAATCTCCAAGACTATCTCCAAGTGCATCTCAACATTTTACATCATGAATTAATGTGACCAAATAGTCAATAGCTACAGTAGTACTAGGTAATGGTATGGAGCTAAAATAGGGGTTTGTAGTTGGAGTAATTAATATCTACGGTATATCCAGCTTTGTTTCCTTTCTTTATTTTCTACGATCCCTATTTGGAGATTTTTAAATTCTCAATTTCTTATTTATCTTATAGATTTTAAGTACGTTTTCTGTTGTTCCGCCCCTGGTGCTATGCCAGGCAGAAATCAGCTGTTTGCCATGTTTTATTCTTAACTTCATTTATATGTTTATTTCAGTTTAATTTGAATCGTAGATTAGACCCAGAAATTTAGATGATTGGGCTACCTGGAGAAAGGTTCCGTTTAGGCATAGATTAGGAAGGTGTGAGAGTGTGTCTATTTGTTGTAATATATTTGTGAATAATACTTTTAAACATTAATTATTATTCTCTATGTGTTAAAATAACATTATTTTGTTCAGACCTGCTGGTAAGTTAGTTGTTGCTATGGCCGCAGTGTTTGAACTCTTTCATATAGCCACATCTGCAAATTGGGAGAAGAAACGAATTTTGATTTATTAGGGGGCCTTTCACTCACATACATAATGAATAATTCAGTCCCTTCTTGCGGGAACCCTATCTCCGGACTAAAATATTCATTAATTCTTACTTTTATATGGTCTTGAAAGTTGGAAAGACATTGAATAATACTCGGCAGTAGCTTCATATGGGACATTTGAAACCGTAATTCATTGTGCTATACCCTGTTTTAAATGCTTTCTTTGCGCTGAGAAAGCAGGCGATGTTACATCTATTCTGATTAGAATTATTTATGACAGTTTCAATGAGTCTTACTAGATCTGTGGTTTACTTTGACTTGGGCCCGGCAATCTGTGGGTCGCGGGTTCGAATCCCCGTCCCACCAAACATGCTCGCCCTTTCAGCCGTGGAGGCGTTATAATGTGACAGTCAATCCCACTATTCGTTGGTAA